TGAGCTGAGCAAATTTCTCCTCCTGAGCTGCAAGCATCTTCTCAAAATCATGATGTTTCTTCAGTAAATCCTCTACTTCAGACACTGAATCCTGAATGGAAAAATTATCAGATACAGAAGTCCAAAATCAAGTCAATCAGAAGAGATTATGCCTAAGAGTTTCAGATTTATCAATTCTATATAGTCAAATTATGATTCTGAAATTTTTGTAATTGAATGTCTAAACTTCTAGTAGTGTGCGAAAAACCTTAATTTACACTTAAAAAAAAAGGTTTGTAGCTTGCAGTCTGTCTGCTGTATATGAAAAAAAGAGCTCAAATAACAACCTTATTTTTTTCTGTGAAGCCACGTGGTACCATGGCTTCCAACTACAACTATTTACGTACAGATTAAGTACTTGAATTCCAGCTTGTGCTAGATGCAGAGTTTATTCCTGCCCCACAACACACGCATCTTAAACCTCTGTCTTGCTCTCTGCTTAGTTTTTGATACCTGAGTTTATGACATTGTTTTCCCATCTTATACCATCAGAAGACAGTCAACAACAAGAAAATAAACAAGTGATGGATGCTGGTGTTTAAATACGAATTTACAACATAGCTATCAAGACAGCTGTGCAAAACATTCTAAAGCTCAACACAAGGTGGGGAAAAAACTTTTTTCCTTTCAAAAGAGGCTCTCAGCATGACAGGGAAGGTTGAAACCTCTGCAAGGTATCTTATGTGAAAAAAACGGTCTGGAATTCTCAGTCTTCTACCATGCCCTGAAAGCCACCATCTCCTGGAGCCCATCACCATGTAAAATGCAGCGTCTGTTCTGGACTCACTCCTGCCTTGTGTAATCTCAAGGGTGCATTACTGATTAGATTGTGATTAACGTCAGGCTCGAGCTTATACATGCTTCAAGCACTCTCTATATGCTAAGAGACATTTCAATAGTGTTTCACTGTCATTACTCACCCCATAGCTAGGATCTGAAAGAAAGCTCTCCTTGGCAGTCAGCCATGCTTCTGCTTGTTCTAACTCTCTGCGGAGCAATTGAATCTCCCAGTTTTCTTTATATAACTCTTTCCTCATGTCCCAGCTCTCCTTTACCTTCTTCATCAGCTCTGACAGTTCTAACAGTTTTTCTTCAATCTAGAAAAATAACATTTGCAATGCCAGGAAGTGAAAAATCCAATCAGACTTTAATGTGACAGCCAACTAGCATGTAATTTGCCTTCATGATCCAGAAGATTGACCTCTAGATAACTTTGTGGTGTTAACATGGTTTAGAAAAGATGTCTGAGTCCTCATTTTTCTTACTTGATTTCATCAAGCCTGCATGTTGTATAGCTATATATTATAATTGTATGCATATTCCGCATACTGTATGACCAATATTCTGCTGTATGCTTTCCCATGATGAAACTTTATAGCCAGGCAACTTGTATTATAGAACTAGTAAGAACCAGAATATTCAACAAATACATCCATTTATGGCAAGGCAAATATGGAGAGCCTTCAACTGCAGAAAGTTCTCCAATTCTTTCTACAACGGAAGTATTGTAATCTTGCATAAATTCTGAAGATGTTTTTGATGGTGTGGTCTCTGGGTCTACTGGCAGTATCAAGACAAGCTTGTGACCACTGCAAAGATCAAAGTTTAAAGGTACATAGATAACAGGATCATAGAAATTTTAATGTTCTTGTTCCTTTGTCTCTATAACATTTCTGAAGAATTACATATCTTCTGGTGTACTCAGGGACATCACACCATCCTATAGTTGATTGCCTTGTGATGTATTTTATCCTAGGTCTTTTGAAGTTAAATACTAAAATCTCATTTATGTGGCACACCTTTTCTGTGGAATAGCAATACCTCCTTAACCCCTCACATAGCCATAATCAATCCAGTGACTATTCTTTTATGGTCAGCTTCAAAATTAGATTTTAGAGGAGTAAGAACTTTAAAAGGTGTTTTCTTTTTCTACATGTCACATGAAGTCTGCAGATTTTTCTACATGTCACATGAAGTCTGCAGCTTTTAATAGTAGAGAACCTGTTTGTCCTGTTTAGTTCTTCTGTTTTGAAAGAGAGACAAAGGTGCAACTCCTGCCTGTTTAATGTCTTCTTTGTTCACTCTTGTTTGTAAAATATTTGACTCATCAACACACCTCCACAGACATGAAATGTCCATTCTTCATCAGGTCACCTCCTGCCTGCTGCATTTCTTCGTACTTTAGCCACTGCTTTTCTATCTCACGCTTATATTCCTCATGGCGCTTGATAAGCAGTTCAGCTCCCAGGACATCGTTTGCCAGTTCCTCAGATATCACTAGTGCATGCATCTCATTGGCCCAGGCCCTACAGAATAGAGTCAAAAGGGTAAAAACAAAAGGAATCTGAGTCTGTTGGGTACTCAAGAATGTACATATCCCATGGCTATGGACACGTGTACAAACTTTTATTTGCTCACGAAAGATATGAATATACAAATGCATTGATGAAGGTTCACTCATGCATGTATGGATTTTTATAACCTGATAGAATATTTCCAGTGCTGTTTCAATACATAGCCTGTTAGAAAGGCAGCTTCAGCATCTATACCTAATGAAGCATTATGCATTCAAATCCCCAGAAAGAGCTGTAACTGCAAATGTCTGGGCTGTACACATTCACAGTACTTTTACACATAGTACGGGGACATAGGTCCATCTAACCTTATCAACGTGCATGAAAGTACTTCATATGCATACAGAGCACTCATGCAAAGAAGTGTGTGGATAGATATTTTTTATGGAAAATTTTCTACTCCATGAGCTTCAACTGGCATAAACCAATGCATCTTGATTTACCTGAGCTCAGGATCTATCCCTTAGCATAGTAAATGTCCAATAGTCAGTGGTAACCACTTCACTGTCTTTGTATTTCTACACTTGTCATGGATTAACTCTTTCATTAGCTACACTGAACTAAAAATGTCCGTATTTATTCTGTGAGAAGTCCTGTTTAAAAAACACAATTTCAATTAAAAATGTATCAATTTGCATGAAAATAACATTAAAGTGACAAAATATAATATTTTAATGTTCATCTGTCACTTGGAGTATAGCATATTTCCATTATTTATTTCATTTTTTACATTAGACCTCTGCTTATATATACTTCGACATGATTGGTTTAAACAAAATGAGATGTTTAGCTCAACATATCTTTTTTAAGAAGTATGTTTCGTAGATGCTTTAAACGTTCAGCATTTTTTTCTAATTCAGATTAAAAAATATTTTTTAAAAAACAGGTCATGGAATTTCCCAGCAATTGAATTCTTGCAAAAAATTGACCCCTAATAAGAATGGGCAGATGAGTATGTGCATATGGGCAATGGCATTAAATAAATGTGTGCAAAACACTTTCAGCACTTGAGCAAATGCTAACCTATTCTGGAAGGTTATCTTTAACGTAGTTGCTTTGACTCTGAGAAAAAAGGGTGCTGGTGTCTGTACAGGTGTATGTATGAGACTACCAAATCTATCCAGAGTGACTGAATTCTCCAAGACTATCTAGGAAATAGTCTAAAAATGTGGATTTGTCGTGCACACTGTGCTGAAATGGAGTTGTACGGTCACCTCTAATGTGTGGTAAATTCTATGAAGTGCTGTTGAGAAGATGTCATGTGTTATTATTCAGAGATTTGCAAGCAAGCAGCAGAGCACCTGGGACAGGAGTCAAACAGCTGACAGGTGTAATTTAGAAAAGCCTATATGGGAAATATAAGAAATAAGGCCCACTGCCAAACAGGGGCTGACACATACATCAGTTCTCTGCAGTCATTGAAGTAGAGCTGGACTTGTTCTGCCTGGCTCAGTCTTGCCTTCCTCTCCAGAAACTTCTTGTCCAGGCTTTCCCAGCACTCATCCACATCTGTGAGTCTCTCCATGATGTTTTCCTTGACTTGAGGGTATGTGCGGCTGAGGTGCCAAGCCTCTCCTCGAATCCGTTCTAGCTCTTTCATGATGGCTCCTAGATCTCTCTGGAACAGAGTCAGAATGGCTTGTGAGACCAAGTCACTACTTATATTTAAGATTTTAAAGATGCTGCATATCTTTTCTAGCCACTGGCTGCACAGAGGCTGGAAATACAACTCTGTCAAGACTTTTCTTCTCAATTTCCTCCTAATGTCTTTTAACATTCATCATCAAACATCAAAGAAGCTTCTTCAGATGTGAGACATTGTTTATTTTCCTAAATGTGGAGCTGAAGTCTCTTGTAGTTCAGGTGACACTTTTGCAAATGTAACAACAATTTGGGATAGATTTTAGAAGAGAAGCTCATCCTTAGAAGCAAAAGCATTAATAATAAAATATCATGCTGTTAAAAACGGGAGAAAAAGGCCCCTTTCTGTGAAGCACAAAGAATATTTCAGGGTGCAGTGAATTTATCTTTTGTTGGCCTGCAAATAAGACACTTGAGAGGGTTTCAAATCAAGCATCAGTCTCTTTTTTTTGTTTTTTTTTCCATTTATGCTTTTCTGCCACTGCTTCGTGACAGATCCCCTTACCTCTACTCCCTCAAGCTGGCTGAGAAGTGTCTGTACACCTGGGAGATCATATCCGTAATCTTCTATATCCACTACTGCCTCTTTTTCCTGCATCCAGCCCTTTACTTCATCCACATCATGATCATACTGGTGAACTTGCCGGGCTGCTCTTAGATTCTGGAATAAAGAAACAGTTTAATAGTAATAATATATATCCTGTCTGCAGCACAAAAAAAGAGCAATCCTAATATTTTCTAATGCAGTACAGACTGAACAAGAGTGGGAGTGAAACTCCTACCCAATTAGGTCACCTGAAAGTGAGGTGTTCAAGCTAACCTAATTTCCCTAAGTTCTCTGTCAGTGGAAGGAAACAGATGTCTCCAAAGAGCAATTTATCCCTATGAAAGGTGAATGATCAAGATGGAGAGCATGAATTGCCCTCTAAAGGTGGTTCTTTCAGTCACAGAAAGTGTCCCAAACAACTTGCTTGGAATAGAGGCCTACACTGCAAAGAGTGAAAATAAGAGGAGTTAAGTGAAAATTAGGTTTTCTGAAATAAGAGGATTAAAAAATGTCCTAATACTATTTCACATTCAAACTGTATATTAACAGTTATCATGCATTTACTGCTGCTAACAGACAATAGTGGGCTCCAGCTACTTCATAAGCAAAACGTGTATGTAACGGTAGTGGAAAAAAAGGCTTGAGGACATCTGACATTTTATGATCTCCTTAAAACAAACAAAAATGTTAAGATCTATGTGTCCTCTCTGCTTTTCCAAACACATCTGTGACTGCAGTTTCACGAGAGGAGGTGAACTGATTCAACAGCTAACTGCTGCCAAAAGGTAGGGGTTTTGCCTCTGTGTCCTCTACCACCTTCTCTTCCATACCCCTTCTTTGACTTCAAGTAACTAACTCAGCCAAACAATCTGGAGAGTTTTCGTCTTGTTTAATAATCTGAAGCAGTTCAATAAAGAGTCCAATGAGGGCCAGAGCCAGCCTCCTGTTAGTGGTGATAAACTGTTAGATTGGCTTAGTTTTTCAAGAAACCAGAGCTAGCAGTGAATTAAGGAAAACAGAATTACTCTAGGCTGATTAATATCTTTTAAGTATAAGCCTTGCCAGGAACAGTAGGGTAAGCAGTGGCTATAAAGGGAAACAAATCAAAAAAGAATAGAAGAGAATACACCCATAGCTCTTGTAAACCTTGTGTTTCAACATGAGCAATGCACTGGTTTGGGAAAGGAAGGAGGACATGAGAAACAGCAAGGAATTCAATGCCCCAATTTTTCATGTATTTCCTACCTCTGTCCTTGACTGGATGGCATGGCATAGTTTCTCCCATGTCTCATTGATTTGCTTTGTTCTTTTCCGGATAATGTCCATCTTGCTGTGGCCTTCCTTCTCTAGTTTAGATGCTAACTCATTTAAGGAAACAACTTTGGAATGTCCCAGAGGTTTCACCTCGTTTACAAAATCTTTAAACTTTTTCTCCAGCACCTGTGGGATAAATGGGGACACAGACTTAGATATAAAAATTTCTGCCTACCTCTATGACAGAGGCAGAAGGAATCACTTTCTCCGTACTGTATAACACAAAAGCTATGTATTGCAGTCTACAAGCGCAAATCACTTGATAAACCCAGGTGATCTGGAGCCAGAAGAAGGTGTCTATTGTCTTGATCATTTAACATCTTATGTCACAGAGAAAAATCACTCACATCCTGACAAACAGTTGCTGCCAAGATCAAAAGCTAAGAAACATAACCTGTTAGGCTGTCCACATATGCAGCAGTTGTTGAGGAGTAGACGCTATGAATTATACCTCTCTGCACTGTGTGCCCTGAGGAGAAATTTATCCTCGAAATTAGCAGCTAGAGGTGTGAACGCTACATCTCAGTGTTTCCCACTGAAATTGTTACAAGACCACGGCCTTGGTCATGTCAAATTTTTTAGGCTCTGTCAAATTTATAATCAGGGCCAGCAGTGGAGTGTGCTGACCTCACCTTAACTCAAGAAAAAGCTAACTTTCTGATGCACCTACTTTTTCTGTTGGAAAATGCTACCTCAGAGAGCCCTGAGAGCAGACAGAAACCAGTCTGAGTTCTTGCTGTAACTTTTGTCGCTGTAACGTACTTCACTGTCAACAGCTACACAAAAGTTGCAGCAAATATATTCCTGCTTTGGCACACAATACACACAATACCTTTTATTTTCTTTTACCTCAACATCATCTAAGTCCTGCCCATAGTCGTCGGACTCTGCTACAGACTGTTTACTGGAAAGCCATGCATCCACCAGCTGGAATTCTCTTTCAAACTGATAGACCTGGAATTGTTCTTGCAGGCATTTTCTCTGGGACTCAGCCTTCTGTAGGAGAGACTGATAGTCTGCTATGATCCCCTGGAGCTTTGAAAGTATGGCTGAACTGCAAAGAACAAGAATCAGAAGGTAAGTCTTTGTTTTACTGGGTTTTTTGAACATTGTTTTTTCTGACAGGTTGAATTTACACCACCTTCAAAATACAGAAGAAACCAGATAACATCATGGAATGAGTTATGCCAAGCCATTAAAACCAGCTAGTTCAGGAAATTAAAGTATCTCATACAAATAGCTGCTCTTTTCACTTCCTCCTCCCCAGATAAAAAAAGTAAACTGGCAATGGAAACCAGTGAACTGTCAGGAATGCTCATTTCCTTTTCGAAGCACAGTGTTTTTTGAACCTTTATGGTAAATGAGAACTGGATGACAGTTCCTGGGAATAGACAATGGACAAAGAGGCTGATCTGCACTAATTGGCCTGTTGTTAAAAACCAACGGTCAAAAACATTAAAACAATCATCAACTTTTTGGGGTCTGAGTGTGTGTGATGGTGATGAAGGAGGGATTGATGTCGCCTGAAGTCATATTTCTGAAAGAGGTATAAAACAGCTACTGAAGGTTGAACTTTTCCGTATTTGCCTTCTCTGGGCATTTCTGTTAGTTCTGGAGCAGAAGTCTGTTTTCACTTTCCTACCTCTCTGGGCTGTCTTTGTTTATTAAGCTGGCACCCGTCTCCTGTACTTTCTCGATCCGGGGCCTAAAACCATCCATGTCCAGCTTGGTAGCTTCAAGTTTACGAAGTAAAGCTTGTGTGGACTCTTCATTCTTTCCATAATCAGAGGTTTCCAGAATGAAGCTCCTCTCTGCCAGCCATGCCTCCACCTCCAGTAGCTGTATAAAACACAGGGATGAGCCTGAACACAGCTGTGATTAAGGTCAAGACAAAGAAAACTGGAAAGCGGTGGTGTCTGAAGAGACACATCAGTGAAAACCAAGAGCACCTTAGGTGCCTTCCTGTAATGCAATCTATCAGACACTATTAAAAAAGAGTGTACCTAGTAATTAAGGTTACATGTTTATCCGTCTCTGCAGTTACCTGGAAAAGTAACTGTTATTTCTCCACTGTATCCATATTTACCAGATATGAAAATCAGGACAGTATGAATTCTGCTCGTATCTCAGCACTTGCACCCATGCAACAATATAGGTATTGGTTCTTTCAAGCAAATAAAGACCAAAATAAATCTCTCATGAGCCATCTTTACCTCATTCAGGAACTGATGGGCCTCATATGACTGTATGAGCCGCTGTCTCCTCTCTTGAGCTTCTGCCTTCAAGGTTTCTACAGAAGTCTCAAGCTCCTTCAGATGCTCCATAATCTTGCGAGAGGCTGAGTGGCCTCCTCTTACCAGTTTTTGCCCTGTACTGAGCACTGCTTTGGTCAAAGCATCCCGACTGCTTATCTCATTCTCCAAATTCTGGAAAGAGTAAAGAGTAAAATGACAGACCAAAAACAGAAGCTATGGAGATCTTTATACCAGTTAATGTAGTCATCTAATTCCATTATAAATCTGTTTTCTATACATGAAGATGGGTTAGAGCTGCAACACTAAGTGAATGCTCAAAGTGGAGTGGAGGAGTTTTTTGAGGGAGAAGGAATGATTATAGAAATCACATATAGCCATGAAGTTTGGACCTTGGTGTGTATCCACCTCAGAGTGTGGAGGGAAGAGATACTAACCACAAACCTCTTATCTGTAGATTCCACTGAAATATACCCACTTCCACACCATTACATAGTGTTTCCTGAATTAAAATGTGTCTAGGGAAGAGCAATCAATTCAATTCCTCATCGGTATTTATCACTTGCCAACACCTTTTTAGAAGATGCAGTTTTGCATAACAGCCATCGCAAACACTGTGGGTACACATACGAGCTGGCAGCCAAGAGGATAAGGAGAGAAGAAAACTACCTGAACCAATTCTCAAAGACTTTACTTGAAATTAATTTTTGAAGACTAGTAGATTTGAAAACGATATGCATACCTCCAAATACCCCCCTCATATTATATATGCCTGGGTAGGCAGGGACCATGCTGTCAGTTTGTCTGGGTGGATGTGCATTCCATAGCTAACTATGCCTGAGCAAGTTGAGCACAAACAAACTCCGTCTTTTTACAATTGTTCTTATTTTCATAGCTATGAAACAGGCAGTTTCAGAGTTAGACTGCAGTCCTGTGTTAATATGGCAGAGATGCAGAGGAGTTGCTTTTTCAACTTCAGTATCAGACTTGGCTGCAAAAGAGCTCTGATTCTAATCTTGCCTTTAACTTTACCCTATTAATATCAAGATAACCACTATGCTGTTGAAAAGTGACACCGTATCTGACCCAGCAGAATGGAATCCAGTGGCAAAGATTATAAAACATCTTGTACTCTGTATGAATAATAAGCTAAGAGCATGAGGAACAACTTTGTAGTTGAACATTTAGGAACATATATTCACCGTAATTAATTTATAACAACAGGAATTAAAAAAAAAAAGGAGGGGAAGGGAGCAAGGGGAAACTCTGTTCCAAGCCAAGCAGCTGTGCATATGCATATTATCTTTGTGCGTAAATGCAGTTTTGCAACACAATATATTTTTTTTAGGTTGATACATTTCACACACAATCTCTTCTGTGGTAACAAAGCAAGGACTGTATTTTGCAAATCTGGCTCATTAATATAGGGTGGAACTAACAGTATATACAGCTCTTGACTGTTATGTTACCTCTGACATTTGTTTGCCTGTCAGCCAACATTAAAAAAAAAAAAAAAGACGTAGAGACTCTAGCTACTAAAAGATTGAGAATTCAAAGCTTATATTTTAATCCTGCTTCCAGGAGAATAAGAATCAAAATGGCAGGAAGAATTGGCATTTTATTATGCACTGGTATTATGGACTTTGTCTCCCATTCTCACAGTTCATTGAAATACTTTGAGACCTGACAATTAACACAAAGATAATTGTATCCTAAAGCAATATCTCCACGGTTCCTTCAATTATCCAAAGTATTTTCTCAGATTAATTCAGCTCAAACATTCCTTTCTTCTGTGAACCTAATTACTTTCCTACTATGTCAATCAGCTCATAATTTTTAGGAGTAATTGTACACATAACAACTTTTATACTTTTAATCATGATGAAGTAAACTTTTTATTCTCACTGTCTAATCTCAAAGCCATCAACTGCATCTTGCTAAAATACAGAATTTTTACAAATATGAGATTACATTGAATGCTAAGAAGGTGCAAACTATTCAGAAATTCTCATGGGTCTTACTCAGCAATAGCTGGAAGATGCATTCAAAAACGTTTTACAATTCTTCATCAAATTGTAAGTACATGTAGGATAAATCAACTTTTTAAGAGACTTCATCCCTGTCCTAGTATGTCGCCTGTAGCAGTCTTGACTTTTTACCCTGAGGATATTTCAAATTTTTTTGTAAGTTCCGATTGTTATTTGTAGACACACAGATTGCACTAAATGCTTGGGTTTGCTTTCTCTCTCTCTGTGTATATATATCACACACGTTCCCACTTTGTAAGATATTCTGTCTTTCCCAGTCCTATTGCAAATTTTACAGATTTTTCCCAGAGGCACTCAACTTGGCATTTAAATGGGCTGTCATTTGCTAACATTAATAACCAATAGTTGCTGAAAATTTTTAGCAGTACTTTTTCTTTTTCTTCCACCTCACGTTTGCAAAGAGACAGTGCTCCTTATTAGAAAATGATTAGGAAGGCAGCTGCTGTTTTATCGGTATTTGAGGTGACAGTGTTCCAGGCACTGCTTTCTCTGATGGCCTATCTGAACCTTGTGAAATAATTCGGGAACTATCTTGAAAGCTAGCACTGGAATGAAAGTTGGCTAAGGGTCATCACAATATCCTGTTAACTCCCTCCCTCCAGAGCAGAAAGAGCTTTGGGAAAAGATGTTTTCCTGGGAGCTCATCCTGGGACATCTGAGTAATGAGCTTGCTTGGATGTACTCACTGAGTTTCAAAGAGTATTTGTTAGGACATCTATTGCCCAAAGAAGCTATGACAGCATGCACAACAGTTTGTAAAATGTATTGCAAAGGCCAGGTTTTGAACTCGGTTCACAGAAAGAACCAATGTGTCCACAGAAAAGCATATGGTATGCTGCCTACACCACTGCAATGATAAGATGCATGGATTTCCACGTTACCAAATCATGGACATATCCTCTGAAAAGTGTCCTTATTATCAGACAAGAATAAAAGTAAACCCTGGCATCATGCATCCTGTTAGCCAAAGCACAGCAGATTAAGTTTGCCAGAGGCAAATTGAATTCCGTGTTCTCTGACTGAGAATCATTCTCACAAGGCATTACCTGGTGCTTTTCTTGTAGACTCTGAACAGTTGCCAGGGATTGGCCGTAATCCCTGGAGGAAGCCATGGGGAGTTTCTCATGAACCCAGGCCAACTCCTCATCAACATCTCGGAAGAACTGGTACTGAAGTCTGCTTGCCTCCAGACTCGCACGTCTCTCCTGCAGTGGATCACGTAGACTTTTGTACCTGTAGGTTTTAAATGGAACAATCCAATGAGGACTGCAGATTAAATAAGGAATGAATGCAAAATGTTCTTTTCAGAAGGAAAGCAAAAAACCCCAAAATGCAAGTAAGAAAAAGGCTGATAAAAATAGGAAAAAGATGGCAGGAAACAGGCCAGGGATTCACATACCTCTGCACCAGTTGATCCACTCTCTCTTCTAGTTCATCAGCAAGGAAATGCTTCTCTTTCTGGAACTGCTGAGCTGTGACCACAAGCTCTTGTAGCCGGTCCCCATGGCCAGCAATATCTGCCTCCAGTTCCTCTTGTTTCTTCAGATGACTGTTCAAAACCACCAGATCATTGTTACTATATGGTGCTTTCAACTCATTTTCCACATCTTCCAACCATTTCTCCATATCCTCTATACTTCGCTGAAAATGAAGGCCCTGAGGACAAGTAGGAAGAAAAGATCATTTATACCTTTAGGGTAGATAATATGATATAAAAATCTTGGCCACTTTCATTAGAATTACACACAATCAGAGATAAGCTTCCCAGTGCTCAGTGAACTCTTCTCAGATATGATGGTGGTCCAGATAAAGAAGAGTATTCAGTCAGAGTGAATCCAAGAACAGATGCAGAGAACATCAAGAGCTAACCTTAACCTGTGTTGCACAAATACAAATGATGGACACGGTACCTTAAAAGGAAGCCATTTAAAGGGAGGGCTTTATTTTATACCCACAGAGTGTCTGATAGTCCATGCAAAACTCACAGTCATGAGAAATCATGTGCCTGGAGATAGAAGAATGAAAGCAGCTTTGGGTTTCTTTCTCAATGTGTTGGAGAAAAGATGTCATTGGGACAGATGCAGAGAGTTGACATGTATGAGTGAACACATTTTCCTTCAGTATCCGTCTCTGGAATCTTGATCTAAACAAGCAGCAGAAAGCAGAAGAGAACACAGCCTACAAATTCTTTTTCCTACATAGGGATCACCAGTTCTCCTGCTGATTGCATTGAATCAGTCCACACTTAGTAGTTTCTTTGCTCTAATGGTCTTGAGGAATCAGGTCTGATTGTGTAAAGTGACGCACTCGTAGATGAGACGTGTAGCAAGGCAGCCATGCTATCTCTGGAAATGGCACTGAGACCCAATCAGTGGCATCCCTTGATTACCTTGTAAGCATCCTGCAGCTTGGTCCGTTTATCCTGGCAACTTGCTAGCAGTTCCTCCCATAGTTCTTCCATTTCTTGTAGTCTGGACTGAATGGCTTCAGGGGCATAATGCTTCTGACGGAGCATCTTCTCTCCTTCCTATAGCAAAGAGAACCGTCAAAGTTTTCTTCCTTTGCTGAATGCACCAGAATATATCACTTTTGCCTCCATAAACAAAGTCTACTGGCACTGCTATGTAAAGGGCCAGCTGCAGCCATCACTTCCTGGCATAACAGATAGAGGCTGCAGAGACAAAGAAAAAACAGATAAAGGCAAAACGCTTATTGAAAGTAGGGCAGAGATTGATTTTCCTGTTTTTCTGGCCTCTAAAATTATTTGAAATACTAGAAGGCAATATTAGAAGACAAAGCATAAAGAGAATCTTCATTACGCAACGTTGCCTAAAAGCTGGCAGGGAGCCCAGTTTGCAAGTGCTCATTTTTTTCTGTGATGTCCCACATTCTGTGATCACTATTTGAGGCTGCACAGCCCCCTGTCCTTTTCTATTCCCCTCCTTGCATGTTAAGAGAGAACTGTCTCATACAAGTGAACCACTGCATGAGATAATAAAACCTCTTTTAACCATGTACCATTGTACCACTGTGTTAATAAAAGCCTATCTGCATTTCTAATCCCTGAGCTCAGACGCTTAACAAGTTGGCAGAAGAAGAGGTAGAGGGGACACAGCAAGACCTCCATCAGGTAGAAGAGCCTGTGGGTATATCCTTAAGCTGGGACCAAGTTTGCTTTAGAAAGCTAAACTGAGCTATTTCTACATTTTGCAATGAGGAAGAGGAGGAACAGTAAGAGAAAGATGCTATACCGGGACAGCGGATGTTAATTTTCTTCTAAGGAGTAACTACTAAGGCTATTCCCAGCAGAAAATATGGGGCATCAAGAAACAATAAGAAAGAGATTGTGCAAGCAACTCTTTAAAAACAGAGTAGTTTAGAGAGAATTGTAACTCTCCCCTTCAACTCTCTCGTTGTGTCTGCATACAGGGGGGTTAAAAGGTTAACAAAAATAAACAAACAACAAGGGGAATTCTACATTACTGGATGCAGGTGACCCTGAGGAGGGAATCTACCTTTAATGCTTAGTTATATATTGCAAAATACAGCTGGTAAACACTGTGCTGAAAATAAGGATAATAAACATGTAACAGTCTGTCCTTCCAAACTCATCATCTGATCACAGCTTCTGCCAAGTTATCTGACAAAGCTTGTCAGACTTCCCTCATATCTCTCCCACTAAAATGTCTCTGCAAAGGCAACCTTTGAAAACTCTTCTTGATCCTTTTTGTTGTAAAAAAATCTTATCTGACTTGTTGAAGTTGTGCATCCAGTCAGCTAGGTTCCCTCCTGGAAAGAAACAGGTGTACCTCTAAAGTGGCATTAACTCCATAGAGAAGTCCCTAAAGTCAGTGAACTGAATCTTTCATTGAAAGCACCCATCAAGCTCACACCAGACAGTAAGAGAGAAGTTGAAGAAAATTGATGACACCGAAAGTTCTTGATGGACTAAAAGAATAAGCTTCTTGGTCCCCTCAGAGACAGCGTGAACAACGTCAGCGAGGCGTCAGTGATTCCCCCTTGCTTGTTTGAGATCACTGTAACTCAAACTGTCTGCAGAGTCTTTCATGCCATTTGCCACCCTTGCTGTCAACCCCCCTTCTCTCACAGATTTGATGGAGTCGAGGCGATTTCTATTGGCCATGATCTCTGCTTGGAAAGTCTGATGCTTCTGCAGTTTGGTCTGAAGATTGCTTGGATCCTTCCAGCTATCATCCTGGGCAATGTTGTTCTTCTCATTGATCCAGGCAGCCACCTTTGGGAGGAAAGAACAGAAGTAGACAAAATCTTCAGCTCCAAACTGCCAGGCTGTCCTCTAATACATATAAAACATGAGACTAGTGAGTGGGGACAAAAATGAGTTGTCTTTCTGAGGTTCTGCTTCCCTAAACTCCTCCTGTCTTCATAATGAAGGCACACCTATACCTCTGTTTAAAAGCATTGTTACCTGGAAAGTGGACTGTCTCCATGAGATAGTCTCCATGCAGTGAGAAAGTCTGTGGGCACATATGTGCATGTACACGTGTTTGCATGGGGGAGAATGGGCAATTACCTCCCTATTTCTAACCCACTGTCAGCATCTCACAAGAAAAGAACTAATTTGACGCTTCCCATGAATTTTAAAATGGTGGCACATTCCCTTTTAATGCATTTATTTCTTCTGCATTTTGCTGGCATCCAATGCACAGTAGATCTTTTATCTGGTGACTGGAGTGAAGCTGTGACTTGAAAGCTGAAAAATATCCCTTCACTCTTATCCTCATCTTTCCTCATATCGTCTCATTCCAGACTCATTTCCTTGATTTTTCTCACAGTAAATCCCTTCAGGGATTCAGATCTATGCAGCACAGTATGTTTTAAGAAACCACAATACCATGAATCCTGTGTAATTGTACCTCAAAGGAATTCCTCAGCAACTTCTGCAGAAGCCTTGATTCCTCTAGCAGATGTCTGCGAGCAGCAGCATTCTCCAGAAGTTTCTCTTTTCTGAGATGAAGACAGTTGTGTGAGGCAAAAGCCACAGAGTGAATTAGATAGTATAAGGGTTTTCAATTTTCATCTCTAAAACACACGTGATCTAATCCTCCTTTCTCTAGGAGAGAACTGTCCATAGTATGCAGCCTCCAGTGATTTGGACTGTCAGAGAAGATGGTCAGGACACTATCAGAAAGATTACTAGCAGATAGGTATGTTTAAAGTATACACAAATTCTGTATATATGATATCTGCCTCTAGGAATCACTATTATTGCCTTCCAGGGTAGAAGAGAACAAGAACTCCGCATGTTCCTTACATGGAAAGGCTGTGAGTATGACAATATTTGTCACTGATAAACCAAAGCTACACCATCTTTTCATCTTTTTTCCAAATGGGAACCTGCAGCACTTTATTCATGTTAATGCAGGCATGGGATAGTTTGATCACATTAATAAATTCATATGTTCACTTTATTCATAAGGTATGTCCAATCTCTCTTTGTAAATTTTATGTATATCTTTTAATGTATCATAGCACTGAACACAACTGTTCCTACTGACAGCATTTGTTTAAGATGAACAATATGCAATGTGCTAGGAGAAATAAAGTAATTCACATGACAGGGCAAGATCTGATCAGAAAAATTGCAAATGCCCTAATAGATAATTTGAGCAGGGCTTTAAGATCAACCCTACCAGAGCAGTGAAAAAGCAGTTGTGTGCAAATTACCTTTCTTGACAGTATTTAATGATACTGAAATATTTAATGGCACAGCAGGCCTCTGGGTTTTGTTTGCAGCACTGTCCCTAAAGCTGGCCCAGGATATAGATTACAGGAAAACTGCCTGTTTCTGAATCCCGCTGCCCCTCCGCTTAACTGTATTTTGGAAACCTCCTAATGAAATATTGACTAGACTCAGGCCAATTTGGCAAGACCAGAGTGCAAGGCGCAAAGTCGAGTAAACCAGTTTATGGTTCTCTTAAAACATATAAAGATACTAGTCACATGGGGAGAGTCTCATTGCAAAAGAGATGGGTGGCTGGCATGGGAAGGGTTTGACTTCACCTCCTCAGAACGGCCTGGCATCTGTTGGTGATGTTGTCCGAGTCATAATGCTTGTTTTGTGTTAGCTGCTGAGCAAATGAAGCCATCTCATCAATTTTCTCCATCTGAGCTTCCAGGGCTTTTTCAAACTGCGTGTGTTTCCGCTGTAGGCTCTCCACACTAGACACCGAGTCCTGGATAGAATTCAACAAAGGGAAGCTGCTTTCAGTCAGAGTTTCTCCATCCACAACACTGATAATCCAGAAGCTAAATGGCATTTACCCCGCATTTCCAAGCTGTCAAGAGAATTTATTGGTCTTTGAAATGTGTTGGCACTGAATCTGAGAACTGGGGCCTAAATTATGTTCTATGCATAGTCTGAGGCCATTATTTTAAGGTCAAAACTGAACTAACTGCTGGATGCTTATCTTCTCCTGCATATTGTTGGGCTGCATAGAACATACCACTTCTCAAGAGATAAAGCTTTGGTTCCTAATTGTAAATCAATCTTAAGACAGATGCTATTTTGGAAGCAAATGTGAGGTGCGAAACTGAGATCAGAGTTAAGTGACAAATATGTCACAGAAAGAGATTAAAATTAGACTCTCAGTTTCAACCCATGGAATTTGGAAGACCTCAGATCCAGATTTGAATTTGAGGACTGGAGTCTGATATTACAGTTAATCTGGAGAGAAACACAGAATTTGACTTCTTGTAACATTTGTGAATCCCAAGCTTAATGACTCAGAGTTCTCTTTTTAGCACCCCTCTGCACTTTTAATTTTAGAATCAGTGGTGTCAAAACATTGTTATCACAATAAACTGCTTTCCCACTATTCTAAAGGAAGTAATAAAGCTCACATCAAATGGGTCAGAAAAAAAATCTAAAATTCTGGGTGCTTACATGTGTCATTGGAAGGAAAAGTGCTCACAGAGCATTTTCTGTTTATTGCTGAGCTAAGTATGACTGGAAAATGGGTGGCTCCTTTTAAGTCTCATATACTTCAATGGAGGGACTGTAAATGCATACCTCCAGGCTGAAAATTACAGAGAGATACCAGCCACTAGCATTATATGTTTTTCACACCTCTTTTACCAATTGTGTTTACACTGAACTCTGAGATGTAATTGTAGTTCCTACAGAGACAACTATCTTGGCAGCTCTACCAATACAAGGTGCAGTGTAAGCTAAGCATCAGAATGTACATCCAGCATCCTGCATAGCTTTTGCAACTCATATATCAGTCTGTGGTTTCAGTTATTGCAGGGTTACTGGTTGCTGGGGTAGGTAATTTAAAGCTACACTGGGTATGTCAGCAGTGACAGCTGCTGGTAAATGTATTTGGGTCAGATATGACCAATTAGAGAGATGCAGTCTCATTTTTCTGCTGTAATCAGAGTAGTTGCACTGTTTTATTACTCTTGGAGATGAAAGTCCTATCCTGTGTAAAGTATCAAGGAAAGAAATCTGATCCTAAACTGTCAACAAGATGGAGCAGTAAATTCAGAAGGAGAAAAATCACGGGAAGGTTCAGAGCACATCATCATACTTCACAGCTCTGTTTCCTCCAGACCAATTGCAGAGAAAATTGCAATTTCTTGGAGCACCTACCCCTAAGTCCTCATTGGCCAAGAAAGCCTCTTTGCTGCTGAGCCAGCTCTCAGTTTGTTCCACATAGCCGTAGAATTTCTGTATAGGGAAAAAAAACAGCCATAAATATGGTATAAAACAAAAGCAAACCTGAATTTGGCAGAATATGCTGAAAAAAACAGGCTTCCAGGGCTATTCCAGAAAGTCGGTGCATAGCACTGGATGGCAATCAGCATTAGACACTACAAAAACCACATGTGTAACAACTATTATCGTAACTTTCTCCTTTATAATATGACTATTTCTTTTTGTCTAAGATACAAGATAAAATATAAATACTTGCAGCTTGTTTGCTAATAGTGTAGAGAGTGCTGTGTAAGGTAACTAGCCAACAAAAAGGACGGTAACATAGCCTAAAATAAGTAGAATGTAATACATAAAGAAGCATGAAAACAGCCCTTACCATATGGTTTAAGTTCTCATATATATGAAGCTTTTTAGATGGGACTAGTAACACCAGCTGTTATTTGAGGTACTTGACATTCCCCATTGTAAAATCTCCATTTCAGTTGTTTCTAACTTTTGCCAACAAGCCATTTGAGCAGAAATTTTGTGAGATGACTGTTACAGACAAGTATTTCTGGCAAACTGCAGCCAAAACAGTACTTTTCTTAGAAAAAAAGCAGGGAAAAATACAGTATTCTCTCCATATTAAATTTTGCTTCAGATTTTTTTTTTTTTATAAGTACTTGCCTGCCTCCATGTTTTTTGGGAGGTTATAGAATTTGGTAGAGTAGTGATGTTCCATTTTAAGGATGTGCCTTTTACCAGCTGCACGAGAGTTTGACCAAATTTTGCTGAGTTTTATAGCCTTTGAAAAACATGTGAGCACATATTCCACAGAAACGTCTTTGTTTTGTAAAAGTACAATTTCTAAAAGTCCTGCCACCACAGAATGTGCTTGGCCCTCAGCATGCCTTCCAGAAACCAGTGAAACATACATTAAACACTGGGTATTATTAGTGTGTCTTTCATTAGACCATCTTATAAATTTGCTGTTTATACAGGGGAAAGTTGTCAGTGGCACGTGCATTCTCTTTTGAATGTCTTTTCACTCACCTGTAAATCTTGCGCCTGAAGCAATTTTATATGTTGTTCCTGCCATGCTTGGATCAATTCAGACCAGGCTTGCTGTAGTCTGGAGAGGGATTGGTGGATCTCAGGGGTTGCATAGTGACCAGAATTGGCAAGTTCTTGACCATAGCTACTGAGAGAGTTGAAACTTTCCACTCGTGCTTCAATCTCCTCCTAAAATACATTACTAAGGTTGATGTTAAGGGTTTAAGGAATGCCAGTTATTCTCGATACAAGCCTTAAGGAGAAGCATATGGGCTGTAACTTTCCAACACTAATTTTTTTACGGAAAATCACTCATCTTTGAGCTATGTTACTAAAAGAGCACAGGAACGCCTAAGAGAAAATAAACGTGGACAATAATTGACTTTATTGCTCTATGAACAACTAGTCCTCTACAAATCAAAATTGGGATTAAATTCAAAACAGATTAGAAAATGCTTAGATATAAATGAACACAGTTTTGAACATCCATAATATCGTATCGCCCTTTAGTCTTCCTATGTAAAGGCAGTTCTTATAAGAAACAGCACCTAGAATTTTTCCTGTTTTGCCAAATAAGTTGGCATAAGATTATTATGTTAAAGACACAGTTTTTTTGGTGTTAAAATGAAATACATTTAACTTTTTCATCTTGTCTGAGGAATGATTTATGCCTATGTATTCAATCCTGAAGATGAAAGCATTACAAGCAGCTATGACCCCTGCAAACTGAATGTGGAATTTCTAATGTAAACATTTTGAAAATAAAAAATAACCATGCACTGAAATAATACCATATATTAACTCATAAGCCACCTTAAAAACTATAGCATGTACTATTAAATGTCTGAAACTAGAACTGCTGGTTTTAGGGCTTTTTTTGTGGGGTGGTGTTGCCCAATCATAGATACCACAGCTGTAAGACAGTCATTCTATTTATTAATTCAGATTAGGTCCTTGTTTCAACTCTAGTCTCCTCTACGGACTTTGAGCCTCTGACCTGAATGAAAAGAAACCCTTCATTTTTCTTGTCTTGTCTATAATTTTAGTTTAGTCAATCCAATAGAAGAGAATGTATTGCCTGGATTCCTCCTTTTCTGTGTGACTATCTCCTTAAAGCCATTTGAGTTCCTTTACCAACAGATATTTAAGACTTAGATCTTGCTACCACCTGAATTTGGAGTACACTGTATCAGTGGTTTGGGGTATTTCTACTGTGACAAAAAATTATTAGCAAAAACACTGTTAAGTTCATGACGTGAGACAGCATTGTTAAAATGGAAGACTGAAAAAGGAGGAGACTTCAGGTACTTCATATTAAATTGAAGTCTAGAAAATGAAACAGAATCTACAAAATATTTATGCTAATAATGGGATCCACAAAGCACTGGATATTAGTCATGATTCTGGGAACAAGCTTTTTAGAAAAAGCAACATAACTGTAAAGAAAAGGTAACACAACAGCTGAAACATAGCTGTGACACTTGGGAAAAAGTAAAATATGAACTTTTTTCTAAGGTTAATTAACAATATCACTCCTTTTAGAAAATTCACCAAAAATGTAAGCCCAATTAGCCACCAAAAGATTGTGTAGTAATTAGTACTGGGGTATGAAGTATTTCAGAACTGAATGTGTGGTACCATCCAATGGTAAATTGCTGCCCTGTGCGAGACAAACTGCTGGTTTTATTTTCCCTGTGTTTATTTTCCTCTGAGGCAAAGGGAGTTTGCATGACAAAATCTAACTCAAAGCTAGAATTAACTGCCATTAACCTTTTGGCAATCCAAATAAAGAGATGGACAGCGAGCATGTTTTGACACTGAACCAGGTTTTTACCTACAGGGTTGGACAGCAGCACAGGTGAGAGCTAAGGGGGCTTTCTGAGACTTTTTACAGAGACGTGAGCTGCCAAACAGACCATGGGATAGAGTTCTGTCAGTAGGCAGGTGACTTCTGTCCCTAGCCTGTTACTGAAAACAGTCTTTTCACCATGTTATTGACAGACAGATAGAGCAATTAATTCCCATGGGCAAGAGTCCCGTTATGTTCAATTAGAAGCAATGATGATACTTGCCTTTCTCTCCTGGTGCTCCTCAATCATGCTTTCTGCTTCATTTGTACTTTTAGGAAGCCCCCCTGCTTCCATTAAGCCTCTGATGTTTTGGGTCCAATCTAGCATCTCCTTCATCTCCATGTTAAACTTCTGCAACTTATATGAGGCTGCCAGCTTCTCCTTCCTGCCACACAATGTGCAGTTCAGCATTATCCAACACAAAATTATCTAGTTGCCTTTCCCTCCCCATTTGCAGAAGAAAGTATCCTAGGAGAAGCCAAATGAAGTGAATTCAATCCTCCTAGCTTTCCCTTACAGCTCCTAACAGTCCTCATATCAAATCAAAATCATAGGAGATGGACACTGCCTTGGAGACAACATGCTTACCTTATTTTGTACATCAGTTCATTAGGACAAGAAAGGTGAAAAAGCCTTCATAGCTGTCGCTTCCAGCAATGATTACTGCTCAGGCCTAAGTCTTTCATGTTTTGCAAAGATTCAAGAAAAAAATTATCTTCTAGAATCATCCAAAAATAAAGGCTTCATGACAGACTTAATCTGATAGTCTGGAGGCATTTTAGTGACATTATTTAGTGAGATAAGCCACAAACTCATTGTATTAGTTTTCCCAAAGTCACATCAGTGGAACTTTTCTTGTACCAAGTCACACTTGTTCCAATGCAGATGTCTTAGCTGCCTGTATAAACTTTGTCAGGGATCCTCAAAAACTTTTAAAAGATCTCTGGCAAGTAGATTTGAGACCCCAGGGAGCAGCTTTGCTCCTGCTGAGAAATATTCAGACCACTAGAAGTCTTTACCTTTGCTTGGCTTGTCCCTGGAGTCGTAGCCAGTTGTTTTTCATCTCCTGTTGCTTTGTAGTCAGTTTGTCATTTATGGATGGATTCCTTGTGGAAAGGCGGAAATATTCCAATTCCAATGGCTAGGAAGAGATTTATAGTGGGATGAATTTATGCCAAATACTTATATTCGTCCCTGAGTTTGCCTTTCAGGAAAAGCAGTTCTTTTTAAGATCCCAGGTTTCAAAAGCAGGTACTTAAATTATAATAACACAATATACAAAGAGACTCGTCGTATGCACAAAAAATATGTATACATTTGCTAGCAATCATCCATGTAAAGAAAGAGACGTGTGTGTTACTTCACATACACAAATGTTAATTTACATTTAAGGAAGTAGTTTTGTAGAACAGGGACAAACATACAGGAAAATGAAGTCCTAATTGTAACCTCTATCAGCTTAATCTAAGATGGCGTTGTGGTTTTAACCCAGCTGGGAACCAAGCACCACACAGCTGCTCACTCACCCTGCCCACTGGATGATGGGGGAGAGAATTGGAGGGGTAAAGGCAAGGAGACTCGTGTGTTGAGATAAGAACAATTAAATAATTGAAATAAAATAAAATAATAATTATAATACTACTACTAATAATAGATTATAGAAACGAGGGATGCACAGCTGACCAATGCCCATCCCATCCCTGACTAGTGATTCTGGAGGACAGAAATCCCGAAACTGCAATCCCAGAAGACAGAGAGATCTTCCAGGCCAACCCTCATTTATATATTGAACAGGACAATGCATGGTGTGGAATATCCCATTGGCCAATTTGAATCAATTGCTCTGGCTATGTTCCCTCCCAGCTTCTTGTGCACCTGCATGCTAGCAAAGCATGGGAAGATGAAAAGTCCTTGATTTTTTTAGCAAAAACTAAAACCATCAGTATATTATCCATATTCTTCTCATTCCAAATCCCACACTAAATCCAAAACACAGTGCTATTCTAGCTACTAACAAGAAAACTAACTCTATCCCAGCCAAAACCAGGACAGATGAGTAACAAAAGCCATGAAAATATGGCAGTACACAGAAGCAACCAGATATGCCTTTCAGCAGAGGACTCAAAAATCATTTGTATCTATTTCAGCTAACAGCAGCATCAAAACACTACTTGCAGTGTAGACTTCTAGTTGATGCTGTTTTCCTTAACACAGCCTGATAAACAGTAGTAACACTCACCAACCCAGGTTTAAAGTTGGTATCTTTCTTGTAAAAGTCCATCAAATTGATGAAAAAAAAAGAATTTTAATTATACAGAAAGAAGAATATGCCAGGCTGGTTTTAATCCATAGGAAAGGAACAGATATTATACTTTGTACGTGGTATTTGTGGCAGCATCAAAAAAACCCCAAACTTTGCTCATCTTTCTGTTTCCATCCATCACTCCCCCATACAGCCTTGCTAGTGCTATCTGTGGAACACTGACTAGTTATCACCCACGTTTCATATGAGAGTTAGCTAACGAAGTCACAATGTGTGAAGGTATCACACGTATTGTCACCATTTCCATACTATGGTGAAAAATAAGTTTAGAGAGAGTTTAAAAAATATTTTCTATATGAAAAGGCTTAACACTATGGCTAACAGTGAAAACTGTGAGAGGTTGTCATAGGATTTCTACTACTGCAGTTCAGCTGAAAACATTTCTTTTTATTAAAAATATGAAATTATATAGGAGCTTAGACCCATTTTTAATGCTCAAGATTAGTCCTAAATGATGCAAACTGGCCATTTAACAAAAGCCAGAGCTGGTGAGGCATGCAGTTATAACCTAAGATTTCTAGTTTTGATGTCTATCTCAGAAAACTATATGCACTGTGGGTTTTGAATTTTAGTTCTAAACAGAACTAGAGTTGTGATTTTGGTTCAAGTCAGTACAGAAACTGAGGGAAAGATGGAGAGTTAAATTTGGATTCCACACTTTCCAAAAGATATAGGACAGTCTAATCTGGCTTGTAGGTGAGGGCCAGAGAGTCAGCTAACATGTTAAAGAGAGACTTTTCTTCTTAGATTTGGTGCATCAGGAAGAATAACATTCGACACAATAAAGTAGGATGGAGCAGCACAATATTTTACTGAGGAGAAATCTGTCCTGGATTTGCATTGCAGTGCAATTCATGCCAGTGAATCTGAAAAGTCACGCTGATCTTTGTGCCATGCTTCCAACAAGCAAAAATGAGCTTTTTACAGTATCCTCTATACTGCCCCACATCTTACCTCCATTTTGGACTTAATAACACTGATTTCTCTCTCCATCTCTTCATGCCTTCGAATCAGGTTTTCCACACTTTCCACATCTTTCCCATAATCCAGTGCTTGTATTAGTACACTCTGGAGGAGGCAGTAGAACATGCAAATGGTGAAGATGACAAAAAGCAAAAGGATCGTATCTTAATTCTTTCAAATACTCTTATCCTTCTCTTCTTCATATTGCCATCTGAATGTTCTTACTGTCTTCTTAAATATCAGTAGGGCACCTTGTCTGCACTCCTTACAGAGATGGAACAAGAATTTGCAACTCCTACTTAAAGTGCCCCTGGCTGTTCACATACAAACAAAACCAGGAATGCTTCCCTGCATTTCTCAATCCTTTTTTGCCCTTTTTTTCCATATACCAAAACAGCCAAATATTTCCCATTAAATTGCGGCACAGAAATTTTCAAGTGTGTTTTATAAAAATAAGGAAAACAAAATTTGCCCTTGGAATCCTACCTTAAGTAGTACCACTATATATCAGCCTATTGATTTATAGTTAATATAATCAGTTATATGGATGAAATAATTAATTTTTATATAGCCTTTTTCTTCTATTGATCTCAAAATTCTAATCCAGGATAGACATTTTAACCTTCATTTTATGAATGAATAAGATTTTTATATAACTTTTCAAAGTTGCATATTTAATACCTCTGCATTGCACAGCAGGGTTCTTGAATGAATTAGCATTAAATTTGGAATGCTGGAAGCTGCTATATTCAAGATGAGTAGATAATTCAGAAGAAGCCCTATGGTAGCTCAGCTAACTGGCTTTTGGTATTCAGAACTGACTTGGCTTAGCACTGTCTGAAGGAGATGCAAACTTGATACACAGTTGGCTATCAGAGGTCACTGCTGGACACTCAGTGTCTCTCAAGCAACCGGCATGCCTGGGTTTATCACTATTAGCAAAATAGAACCTTTTCCCATTTCAATTAATCAAAATCTGAGAACTCACCTTCTCGGTAATTCTCTCTGTGATGTCATCAATTTCTCTGATTAAAGCATGAATCTCTAGGGCTCCCTCTAACTTCTTCCTGTATGTATTCAGGTTACCATGGAAACTATTCCACCTTTTGTTGAAAAGAATATTTTAGAGGTGTATTTGAGAGGTGAGGATTTCCACAACTGAGTTTCATGATGTACAGATCTAAGCAAAAAGGCAGGATTCCTGAACTACCTTGTGTACAGATCCCCACAATAGGGTACACATCACAGAGATAAAGCATTATCCTGACAAGAATACCTGGTGATATTTATTCCAAGTTTTCAGGATGGCACGGGGGTTAAAAGCTAAAAAGTACTGATCCAGTTTCCTTAAACTCTAAATAACCTCACAATCCCTATCTTCATGCTTTTGGTTCTTAGCTAGTGGGCCATGAAGTAGCAAAAGCAATATGCACTTCACCAGGACAGCTATGTGAACAGATGGAAGCGTCTTAGCTTCACGGATTTAGTGTGCAAAGTGCTGTGAAACAGTGTATTTGCCTCCAAGGCTAGAAACATGACTTTGGCCCTGCTGGATTAAAAATCCTTCTGGTTAACTGCTCCGAGAGGGAGTTGGGGCTGTTTAGCCTGGAGAAGAGGAGGCTGAGGGGAGACCTGATTATGGCCTATAAATACTTGAGAAAAGATGGTGGGGAGGTGGGGGAGGGGCTCTTTACATTAGTGATGGGTGATAGAACAAGGGGAAACGGGCATAAGCTTAGTCAGGGGAGATTCAGGTTGGATGTTAGGAAGTATTTCTTTTCTGAAAGGGTTGTCAGCCACTGGAATAGGCTGCCCAGGGAGGTGGTTGAGTCCCCATCCCTGGATGTGTTTAAGAATAGGGTGGATGATCTACTTGAGGATATGGTTTAATGGGGATTAGGGATGGTTGGACTCGATGATCTCTAAGGTCTTTTCCAACCTAGAAATCTATGAATCTATGAGAGTCTTGAAAGGCAACTCCAATGCCTGATGTTTGATAGTCATGATGTTAAAGAAGAAAATATATGTCGCAATTCCTCCATTTATCCCAGCCCAAGACACCTAATCTTCCCTTCTTGTTTTTGCTTTACACAGAAGCTTTAAAAGCATACTGACTTCTCATTGAGCTGCTTCCGGCGCTCATATATTGTCTTTGTTTCTTCCTTGTTTTTTCTCTCCAGTTTCATGGCCAGGGCATTGATAGCCCTGATGTGAGCATCGTCCACTGTCATCTCCTGTAAAGTAAGCAAAGGAAGAAAGGTATGTGTTTGAAATGCTTGTGACTGAGTTTTCCACTGAGACGTGAGTCTTTTCAATAACAGCAATAACAGCAATAACAGCAATAAGCAAGAGTTTTAACCTACTACCAAACATTTCAGACACATGGGGTTTGCTCTGCTACAACTGCTGGTGTTACAGTCCCTGATGAGAAGAGAGTAAAGGCAAGAAAGGACTTTAAAGACTATAGATACGATAATGATCTAGATCTAGACGAGGACCCTCAGAGCTTCATTTCTAAGCCAGGCATTCCAGAAGGGGCTCGTTTATTGAATAAACATAGGTGCAGTTACTGGTCACATAGGTGGCTGCTGTGGAACAGCTGATGTGTGGCAGATTGCTCCTCTGTCAAACAAGGAGTGACCTGTGGCTCCTAGGCCTACTCACTTTTTTTGAGATAGGCTTCTGTCCAGATGTGCCTCTGTGCTGTGGACAAGAGGTTTAAAATCCATACAGCCTTGAGAAACCCAGACAACTCATGCCATTACATTTTCTTCTAAAGCAACATCACTCCATTTTAAAAGGTATGCTAAATCTTTGAGGCAACTTGCTTCCTGTATACATACCACCGAAAGGATAACATTTGCACTTTGCACATACACTCTGGACTACAGTGGAATAATTGTTCTTTTGGAGCATGATGAATGGCCAAGTGAACACTGCTTGAAGATTCAAAAACATTCTCTGTTTTTCTAAGGCCAGTAAATCTTAAGCTTAGCGGGGAGACATTAATCACTGTTGTAGTAGAAGCACAGCTGCAAGATGCCAGCACACTGTTAACAGAAGTATTGACTCCATTTGTATTTTATTTATGCTACATCCATAGCAATGTGCATGCTTCCATATGTGCTTTCCTATTATATATATATATATCCATAAAGTAAACAAGAGAAACCAGCAGACAGGCAGATATTCTTCAGAAACCCTGCAGTCTCCTCTCCTGGGAAATAATAGCAGCACAATGTGACAGAATATGAGTAGAAAATCTGGTAGCTATCAATGCAGGATGATTGCTCCCTACCCTGATCTCAGATTTGTCTCGTGGAGAAACCTGGACTGGATGGATGCACACATTGTGTCAGGACCAGTCTGCTTCTATCACTCTATGAAGTACTGTACAACTAAGCGTCAGCTATGAGGGTATCACTGTCCCAGCCTTTTTCTGTGGGAGTCATGTTCAGAGTGCTACAGGAGCAGTTGCTACAAGCTAATAGTATCTAAGGCCAAGAGTTTCCCCTGTCACATAAAATCTACCTTAAGATGACTAGAACACTGGGTTGTTTCTGTCTCACCATCCTCCTTTTGACTGGTACAGTTTGTAGCAGAGCCCTTGCTTCATCCCTTCAGTTCAAGGACTGAAGTGCCAATGAAGATCTCCACTAATTCCCTGGTGCTGAAGCTTGAGTATTTTGACTCCCTACCCAATCCCAGTACTAATGCACTGTCACAGGATATTCTGCTGGCCACTAGAAAGGAGAGTTTGGAGTTTTCTCCCAGGTGTCAGGCATATCTTTACTGTTACTTTGCATAGAAGAGGATTGTCATCTTCTGCTATTAAGTAACAGAAATAATTGGGAGATGCTGTAACAGGAATTGGCAAAAAAATATCAGGCAAACAAAGAATAAAGAATATTAGGAGAGAAAGTTGTAGTAAGCCTCACTCACAAAGTCCTAATACACCTCTTTCCAGACCTTCCTCAAAGCTTCCAGACTAGCAAATCAGCACAGTAATCTTTCCTGTGTGACACTCAGACCTGTTAGACCACATCTGTAGCAGTTCACACAAACAGAGAGAACAAGAGGCTGCTTGCTGCAAATGCATCCCCTCGATGTATGGCCTCACAGCTGTCACGGTGGGAGCTGAAGCACATCATAAGGAGGCCCTCATTGTGGCAATGCCTGTTCCCCAGCATTCCTAAGGTTTGGTGTCCAGGTTAGTTCATCTCACTGGGGCAAGAGAGGCAGCCAGCATGACTCAGCACCACAAACAATGGTCAAATATTACAGCACAGAAAGGTGAACTGTGCAGCTGTTTTGTCACATGGTTGCTATCCAAAGTGTAAACCATTGCTCTATTTTACTAAATGTCTGATTATTAATGTTATGATTCTATAACCTACCACATGTGTTGTAGAAACAAAGTCCCCCAAGAATATGTGCTTTATTTGGATGAAGGAATATGAGAAACTGTTCCTCAGGAGGAGGGGAAAGGAGAAATAAAGGGAAATGGAGAAAGTGGTCAATCATTTTTTTACAGGCTTGTTCATGGAAGGTCTATATCAACTTTCAGATTCAAAAAAATATGGCTGAAACAACCAATTTTAATCCACTTTTGGGTGGAACTCACCATGACTCGTGGACTGCATGAACCAAACCGGAAATTTGCTCAAATTCAGGCTCACATAGCCACCCTTCCAGTCACGTAATGCAATCCAAAATTCTAGGTTGTGACATGAGTGCCTGATAGCTCTGTTTAGGCATCATCAAAGCAGAAGGCATAATGAGGCAAAATTCTATCTATTTTAATGGCTTATAAAGTGGTAATGCTTCCTATCCCCCTGATCTTTCACTTCCTCAGGGTACTGGAACTGTATTTTCTACCTGGATATGCTGCTGGTCTGAAAAGGTAACTGCTGCTTCCAGCCACACAAGGAATGTGCATGGAAAACATCTCTTACCCCTGATGTTGCTCCACGGAACTCATTCAGCTTTTTCATGAGCTGCAGGCAGTGTTCATAGTCATTTCCCACATCACCTACATTAATCATGACTTCCTGGGGAAATAAGCAGCAGACAGGCAAACATTGAGGCTAAGAGTACAAGAACACAGCATGTTGATGCAATCAGTTCTGTGATGTTTCTGTAAATCACTGATCTACAGCTTCTGAAGTAGTCTCTTCTGATCTTTAGATAATTATGTTTGAGACTTAGTCCCAAAACCCTCTCCAATCTGTTACTGATTATGGAAGCAACCTCTGAATGAAAACTTAGTGGATTAAGGGACTCCTCACTCTTACAAAGAGAAACTTTTAGATTTCATACGCAATGAGAGTGAGTACCAGTTGCCAAATGCTTCAAGTCTCTTCCATTCTCGTCCACTTTCATTTCTCTGTCTCAATAGAGACATGCGAGACATCCACCAATAATCATAATCTCTTTATGTACACATTTTACTTGAGAACATGTGCTAATATCATCCAACTGACTCTGGCATGGAAACACTCCAGAAAATTTTTAGAATTTGTTGAATCATTCCCTCCATATTGTTTGCGGAACATGTCATGATTCTTCCAGGCAAAAGTCACTAAGAAAATATCCTGGAAGATGACACATTTATCAGAAGTTCACTGCTAAATAGAAAGTCTCTAGTGTGCTGCTTGGGTTAAATACTAGAATCTGTTTACCTTCTCCCTGATCCAGGCTTCCACCTGATCCACCTTCTGGAGAAATTCCAGGAAGTCCCGGCTGTCCTCCAGCATCTTTCCACGGGCAGCAACAGCTTTCTTCAACTTCTCCCAATGCTCCTGAAGCATGCGGACTTGGCGACGAATCTCTCCTGATTTTGGGTGGGCTTTTAGTACCAGGGCTTCTCCTTTCTTCACATTCAGAAGAAGAAATCAGAAATAAAGGTTGCCACTAATTTTTCATGTGATTACCATGTTACATGACCTCTCTAGAAGGACTCTCTCACTTTCCTAATCTAGACTGAACAATAAATTACTAACATAAATTCTTACTGCCCAAATGATACTGCTCAGCTGGAAAACTTTTACATCTGGAGGGAATCAAGAACACTAGGATTTGAATGTTTCCCTGCCAAGAATGACATTCATGGAGTGGGAGCACCAAGAGACGTATTACAGACGATTGCACCCTTCAGCTATGTGATTCACCCAGTTTCAACAAGAATGTTCACAAATTGCGCATGAAATCCTATTTACCTTTTGTAGGAGTAATCACCTCAGGCAAAGAAGAAGTCAGTGATATCTTCCTGTTCAGGCAACAAGGAAAGATGGAAGTTCCCTCGATAAAGCAATTAACAAATCTCCCTGTTGTAAACTACCAGCATTACATTTCCATGGCATAGCAACTGCGTTCTTGTCATGCAAGTAAGATTATTGATATAGAAGTGGTGAACAAGCTACCCCTCCTTTTCATTCCATCTATCTGTCCTTCTTTGGATACCCAGCAATAATCTGTAAAAACACTAGCAGAGTGAAAGAGTTACCTTATTAACAGCTGTGATGATTTCTTCATTCGCTAGAATCTCTGCCTCAAAGACCTGATGTTTCTGCAGCAGCTTCATTTTGTCCTGTAGATTGCTGGGGTCTTGTATGGTAGGATCCTCTAGTTTCTGCATGCGCTCACTGATCCAGTCTTCTGCCTGAAGCAGTGTAAGGCACCAGAGTTAGCATGACATGCCGTCCTGGGGCCTCCTCCCAAGATAGCATTGTTCTATGCTACTGTCTATGCCTGGGCAGATTGGGCTGGGAGCTGACAGACGAGGTGGCTCTCCAGTTTCTGAACTATTCTACTTGCTAGGAAATAAAATCAGGTAGGAATGGAAATAGTATTATCACAAGCCATAAACAGACTATACAATCTTCTAGATTAGATCTAGAGACTCCTTGAGCAGATATGCAGCCTTGGCATGGTAGACATATTTAAAATGAGATTATGACAGCTGAGCCTTGGATTTAGGGATCTGAGTTTCATTTCCTATCTCTGTTATCGACCTACCTGTAAGATGGGTTAAGATTCTTAACTCAGCTAAGATTCTGTGCCTCGCCTATAAAACAGCACTAACATTTCCTGATCTCAGTGATGTCGTGAGACCTAAATGGAAAACGCAAAGCAAATAAAGCCTTACTGATGAGGCTAAGCATTGGTCAGATTGTTTGAAAGCAAATACAACTCTATTTGCTTTTATACTTCATAGAACTCAAAGTGGTCTAGTCAGGAACATCAGACTCGGACAAGCAGGTGAACCATGAAGACTGACAAAGCAAAGGTTATGTGTTTCTCTTATGAAATTCTGTTTTTAGGGGATTTAAATGTATGTAGAATAAAATGTACAATAGGATAGTGGGTATTCCACAAATTTCTTTAAAATCTGCTAAACTTTAGCCCTTAGCACTGAAGGAAATATTTTTTTTATCCACCAAAACACTGAGAACTGAACACTTGACATATGTTGTAACTGATCATGTTGTCCTCAAACCACTGAAGTAATCTAATGTTTTGACAACAGAAGAAGAGCAAACTGAAGCTAGCTTTATCAGTTTCAAAGCATCTTGGCTGTCCTTATGGAACTGTGCTACATGCACACGAGACTTGACAACTGGAGGATTTTCTCAGTTAATTAATGATTTGAAGTGTTGTTTCAGCTGCTGAAGTTCTATAAGCAATAACAGAAATAGCTTTCACTAGCAGCACGCTCTCCAGAAACTGTTCCCCTCCAAGGCACAGTTAGAGATTCAAACAGGAGCCTTATGTCAAGTTGCCCAGGACAGCACACTGTCATCTGCTGTTTTCGTTTCTGACACTCTCCTCACAAGCTAGGGCCTTCTTCCATTATCCAGCCACACATTAACGCTTTAATGTCACTTAACTCACTTCACATTTGTGTGGGAGAGGCTCATCCATACAGTTAGGATGAGAAACAAATGAATCCTCTGTACATAGCCACCTAAAGGGCAATGTTTCTCCTACTTTTCAATAGTAAGACTGAAAAAGCCATTAAAAAAAAAAAGGCTTTTTTTTTGTCTGGCAAACAAACAGCATGCAGCTCTGGCTTTTTAGTGTAGCCAAAGAAGAGGGCATTTAAATGTTTGATTATTTTGACGGGGGATGGGGGGCAAGGTTTCAAATATATTGTGCTGTAAATGGAATTTTAATAGCTCTTTATTCCTTAGATTATTCTTTTAAAAAAAATAAATAAAAATTTGGTTGTCAGCAGCAGCTGTGTTACAGGCATTCATTTGCTTTTGGTGACAATCATAAACTGACCAGTGTCGACATGTGTCTTTTTCATGGGCTGCAAAGTGACAAGCACCTGTAGTTTTTTCTTTAAACCATGGAGGATGTTTCATGGGATGCAGCAACAGAAGAGGTGCATACCAAACCAGAAAGAGTGGTTGCAAATGTCCCTCTGGGCTTGTGTGCTGTTGTTTGTGCCAGCACACTGGATGCTAGCACATTTTTCAGTTACACGCATTGTGCTGCCCTTTGAAGGGCTGACCTAGTATGTCTTTCCACCAGTAGTGCCAGGAGCAGAGCTGCTCAGTTACAGGACTAAGGCCAGCACCGAGATAGAGATGAACATACTCTGCAGAGACCAGTCTACAGTAGCTGAAAAGCTGTGCTAAGTTACAGTACTGTTTTGAAGGCCTTCAGCGAACACACACTTGGTAAAGCTTGGCACCCTTGCCATAGTGCTTTTCACTTTATATTCATCCTGATTTGATATATCTTTTCTTTCCCACCAAAAGGAAATATAAGGTAGTAGCTGGCGGTTTTCCCTTTATTAATTATCTTTTAACAGAGCTCCTGATGTGTAAAGCAGTTGTAACAGACACAATGCCAAAATGATGGTATAGTAACAGCAGTGGCATTGGAGCACCTACTCCTTTGCATGAGTGTGGCAGAGCAGGAGCTGCCACACTAGAGTAGACTATCAATCCACCTAATCTCTGGCAAGGGTGAGCACTTCATCCAACAGAGGGAGGCAGCTCCTCTGCCTTCTATCCCCATCCCAGTCTCTTACCTCTTCCAAGTTCTGGTAGAAAAGAGCCAGAAGAAGGGCAGTCTGTAGCTTCTCTCTCCTACTCTGGGATAGATTCTTGATCTGCTGCCTCCTTTCACGAATGGTGTTCAGTTTGTGCTGGATCTTTAGCCCTTCCAGTCCACCAACCTTTCCTAGCCTGCTTGCCTGTTCTTGAAGAGACATCATCTGAGGAGGCAACAAATCTGAAGTTACTTTTATGCTTCCAAGTGGTGCAAGAAAACTAAAACCAAGCTCCTTCCCATACCTAAAAGATTCTCTTTTTTTTTTTTTTTCTGGAATGAACCAAGAATAGCCGAGACAAGTTAACCAGCATTCCCCCCACCCTGTACTGTGTTATGCCTTGATGTCCTTGTCATTAGCCTCTGTAGTGTACCCTGTCTGCTTAAATGAATTAAAGCTGTAGCTCCAGGAGTCCCTGTGCCACTGATCATCCAGTGCAAGGAATCATGAAGCAAGCCTGACACCCATGAGTGCTCAGGTTGTATTGCTTTGTGGAAATCAGGTGTTGGAAGGTAGCTCTCAACATCAGCAATCAGTCTAGCAGGGAGCTGGCATGGGTGCTGGGAGCTCATTCCTTCTGGGGAACCCAGGCGCAGCCCCAGGTTTGAGTTTAGCCCTAGCCTGGGTGAATTACAGCAGTGGCCATCAGCTAGGCAGATTCCTTTACATGTGGGTGAGCAATTCAGCATCTATTCCAAAGGTGCATGGCGGCTAGCCAATTTGGTGCAGACATTGTATGTACATAAATAATCGGACAAGTCATCCCCTCTGCCCTACTGTATTTTACTTGCTTTAAAAGCCACTGATTTTTCTAATGAAAAGAGCAGAAACTTCTGATATCCATAACACACAATATAGATTGCTTTAAATATTTATTCTGGTAAATCCCACTATTCATCTTACTAAGTGGTTTTCCTGTCTACTGCAAGACAATACAGGCAGGACTTGGGCATGGAGTATTTAACACTTGTTCTCCACTGCTCTGCCTCTTATTTCATTAAGCTTCCCCATTTTCTCTTTGGTTCAAGCATATCAGGCCTATCACACCCATCAGCAATTCAATGAGTTTCCATATTAAAAAGCCAAATCATTCTAGCTCATGGGTAGGCAGAATATTTGTTGATTTTTGTACCTTCTCATCCTGTGATGACAGAAGCTTCTCAAAAGCCTCATGTTTCCTTATCAGTTGCTCTACTTCATCCACAGAGCTTCCGAGGTCACTGCTTTTCAAATAAATCTATAAAAAAAAAATTACTGTTTTTCTCAGTGGATTAATTATCACATAAACCTGATTCATAAATGTGAGAAGAGGTATTAATTCTGCAGTTGAGAGTACACTTGAGAGGAAATTAAAAGCAAGAGAAGGCAACCAAATTTGGAAATTAAATAGTAGAGCTCCATGGTCTTGAGCAAGAAAGAGAAGCATTAATAGGTTCAGCTAAGGAAAGTGACTTATTAGTGCTTATTGCTATCACTAAGTCAAAAGGCTGGCAATGAATTTCAGAAGTCTAAGCCATCCTTGTAATCCAAAGCAAGATCAACATTGTCATGTCTGATAGATGTCTGTACGATTCCTTCTCAGAAGACTTCCAGTAACAGAGACTTTGTAGCCTCCCTGGGCAAGTTATTCCAGTGCTTCATTACCTTCACCATTACCAAGATTTTCCAAATATCTAGCCTGAAAATGCATTGCTAACACTTCACCCCATTACATACTGCCCTCTTCACCACAGGAAGGAGATAATTCCTTTTACATTTGCTTCAGCCTTGTACATGTTTGCAGGCTTTTTGCGTACTGGGATTTCTATCTTCTCCAGGCTAAACTACCCTGATTGGATCAATCATTCCCCAAAGGGTCTGGCTCCTTGACTCTGATTATTCTTATGGCTCTCCTTCGGGTTTTCTCCATTTCCACTTATTTTGAAACAGGGTTCCTAATACTTGGTGCAATAAGTGGCAATAAGCAATGCAGCAGAGAGCTTATGTGTGCTTTTCAACCTGTAATCTTCCCCATGTATCTGTCTATGGTGCTTATCTTGTACGCAATGCCATGAACTCAAGTTCACCTTGCCATCTACTACAAGCTTCCAGAAGCTTTTCCGAAGGACTGCTATCAGACCAGCTTGTCTCCATCCTGTATTTATGCAGTTGATCATTCGTGAAAAATACCATAGCTTGTACCTGTACCAAGTGCATTACATCTGGGTTTTTTTTTTTTCAGGCCATCTTTCCAACTTGCCTGCATTCATTTTATTCACTATCTGTCCTGTCAGTCTCTGATGCAGAGAGACCCTTAGTCTAAAACAACACACGCAGTTTTAAGGAAACTCAGCTCTGTGCTATTAGCTTTTAACACTGTGAGGACCTTTTCTGACTAATCCATACACATCTCTAAGGCACGACAGTGTTTCTTGACTCTTTGCTGGTGTTAAGAAAACTGACTGCTCAATTACTTCTCCCCTGCATTCTGTTACATTCTATTTTGTCAAATGCAAAAGAATAAACAATGTAGTTATCTATTATCAAGAAAAAAAAAAGCTTCTCTGTAGGCTAGTAGGAATTTATTCTTTTCCAGTGGATTTAATTGCCCACAGTTTCTTCCCTTATCCAATGACAAGAAAACAGCAGGACAAAAACCCCAATCAGAGACTCTGATGGGACATGAGCAAAAATTACCTGTGGACAAGGTTCACAGTAGAGTGAATATGACTGGACAGACTTTTAGAGTTCAGGCTGCTACGAGGGACTGCATTTATCAGTTGGGACATAGCGCTGTGTAATCCATTCTGTGAGCTCATGGAATTGTAAGTATTTGGATAAGGATGAGAAATTCCAACCAATAATTCTACCTGGGTAAAGTGCAATTAGCAGAGATGGAAAAAGAATTTGAGATCAGTGACATAGTGTGAAAGAAATGAGAGTCAGGAAAGAAACAGAATAGAATCAGTGAAATAAAACAACTGCTAATAGTTTCAGAAGAGGGCTGGTAAAGAACAGAGGTAAATCTGTGTCTTAAAACCACAGACATGCACAGGAAAAATAACATCTAGAGAGATCTCTCCTGCTTTGCAAAACATTACAGTTCTGTAGCAGTCTGACAGGGCGGTTTTTACAGGAGAGAAAAGATATTCTTTGGCAGCTACTCCAGTAAACCAGTAATGATGTTCATTGTCTGGACAAAAGTACTGAATGGCTGTTTAACCCCACAGGGCATCTTCTGAAGGAGAGGTTTTCCAGGCATGTGTTATGTGCAATAACTTGTCACCGTCTGAGAGCACCAGCAGGCTCTGGCGCCCTGACAGTCCCCTGGACAGCCCTCCTGCTCCCACTTGGGGGTCCCTCTGAGGGCCCCAGCCCTATCTGAGTGGTGTTGAGGGGGGGCCTGAGCCCTGCCCTGGTCCTCTTGGACAGACCACAGATTTCAGTCATTACCTCACTTAGTTGCCTTGATCTCCAGCTCGTCGATGGACCTTGTTACTGCTGCTGCCACTCAGCCCTCCTTGGCAGCTGTGGCTAAGAGGACTGACAGCCAGACTTGGCCTGACTTTCTGGTTCATTTTTTGGGAGTTAATAAGAGGAATATTTTATACAGAAAAATGCACAGAAGAATATCATGCCAAGGCCAGATGTTCAAACTGCTCAACACTAACCCATGCTGAGTATCAGAAGAAATGTGAATAAATCCCTACAGAGTAATGGCTGTCAAGAAGAGTGGAAGGACACTGTACAACAGGCCTAAGTTTTTGGTAAATCTGGCCCATAAATCACTAGGATGCCGCCTTTGTATGTTAAATACAACCCCCACTAGAAGGCAGATATTCTGTCATTCAAACTTTAATCCTTTGATCTATTCTACTTATCAAGTGTACGAAATTATGGCAGATAATATTTTTTTTAGAGTGCATTTGGATTTGGTTTGCTCTCATGGAGGAAAGTCGCCACACGTGGGCTCCGGGTCTGTCTACTGTAACGCTTTGTTAAACCACTTATAATTACCAACCACATTTACACTGCTATTACTAACACTGAAATAAAAATTTATCAGCTGAATATAATTCATTCCTGTTCAAGGTACACAAACATACAGCCACATGCTTCATCTCTATTCTGGTGTTTTAAATGCTGCTTTAAAAGCCTTGTAGCTTCTCTGGCATATTTTGTGGGTTATCTATCATTTTTGATCTAAAATATTTACCTGAGTAAACAGAAAATTCTCACAATTTTCCACATATCACACCAGGACCTTTATTTATTAACTGCAGTGAAACTCTGCAACTGCAAACTCTGTGATACCTGAAGAAATGGTCAGCCATTAGTTTTCCTGCTCATATATCTGTGATGGAAGAAAAAGGCAAGGGGCATCTACTGGTAAAAATGGTTACTTTCTTTGGAAAAAGAGAACAGAGACACCCGAGAGCAAGGGTGTGGGATGGTGAGTCATAAGCAGCTGCCACTGGAGCGCTCAGTGCCTTGCTCCCACTGAAAATTGCTACACATAAATAACACTGAGCATTCAAAGCCCCATCCCTTCAGCTGTTATAGCAGTGGGAAAAAGTCTTCCTGACTTTTGAAAGCTTTGGACCAGGTCCTCCAAGTAGAAGCCCATGCAAATGTTCTTGGGAGCCAGGTTTTAATATTGAGAAAGAAAACTGGTGCACAAAAAGAAAACTGGCTGCCTACATTGCAGGAGAGGTGACGGCAATACGCTTTGAAGAAAGCAGCCTCGGTAGCACTAACAGTGCTACTTGGAGAGCTGGTGAGATATAAACTTTCCGTTCATCTTTTAAACAGAAATCTTATGACAGCAATTGCTAGAATGAGAACCGCCAACTTTGTGGGTTTTTTTCATTTAAGCATTTGTTATACCAATTTGAAAGCAGAAGGGAAACTGGATCCCACACCACAATGCTGGCCTGTGGCCAATTACATCACTTTTTGGCCTATTTTTAGACAGGTCCCCAAACTCCTGCTTTGAATGAGACGTGTTGACTTCAAGTAGAAAACACTGCATCGCTCTCCTCAGGTAACCTACTGGAGTCTCCCACACCACACAGCAGGTATAAACTTTCTTTCAAGTTTGTTTCTGTTATGAATCATGGCCCATCATCAGGAATTTAATGATGATTAAAAAAAGCAAAAAGCACCAAAGACTTGACCACTTGCTATATAATGGACTCATTTTTAAGCGAGGATTTGCAAAGGCGCTTAAAACCACAGAATGGACTTGGCTCTTTTTGAGATTTGAAATGGAACATGTAACAAATAGCCAAGTTATTAACAATGCAGAGCACAGAAACAGAGGTTTTAACCCTACTTAGCTGGAGTTTTTCACTATTTCTGAGCTCATTGCGTAGATTTAGCCACACTGTCATAAGACCTCTTACATAGAAGTTAATGCAGAACTAAACGCAAAGTATAATTAAAAAAAAAAAGTGTTCATTTTAAATAAAATAGTACTATATACACACTTATGTAACAGCACAGGCCAACTCTAGCTTTTGGAGAAATACTGAATGAACCATTTCAGTCATTAGGATAACTATGCTCTCTGGACGCCACGACTTCACATTTATGCACACTGGAAGCTGACACAGCCCCAAAAGAAATTTGTCTTCCAAGAAGTGTTGTTTTTATTTGTCTAGAAGAAAATCTATTTTAAGTGTTTGTGTAAATCCACTCCCTTCTCCTGCTTTTGCTCTTCACAGTACAACAAGCTCCACAGATTTTGTCCTCCACTGCTTGATCTAAGCTTGCTGCTGAGATTGCTGAAACTCCACTGAAACTCTTTCAGCTCTAAAAGCCATAACTACTCCCAGTTTTAAATGTCTTCACTTAAAGCATGTAATCAAGTCCAAACTCTCTGCCCAGATAGATAATGGCAAGGTTTGATTTAACTTACTTCTGATAAAAGTAAATACAAAAAAGAATTAATGAAAAAAGTATTTAGATTTTTTTTTAGCAAAGTAAATAAATGTGCTTAATATTATAATTATATATGATTCATAAATATGTTGCACCGAGCTTTGTTTCAGTAAAAGTTATAACAAGATATAATACTAGAAGTGTAAAAAGCCACACTAAAGTTGTTTATAAAAAAATACTTACATCTTTTCTATCATACTGACATCACTGTATTATTGGCCTCTGACCTCACAATCTAGATGCAAAATTCTAATATTAAGTGTATTTAAAATTTCCTTCCCCCTTCCCACTGCATGCTGTCTCATAGACATAAGA